AACTTATGTCTTTTGCTAATACGTAAAAAAAGACAAATTAGATGGCTAAATAGACGATGGCTTGTGAGCCCTATTAATATGAGAAGAATTCAGCTTGGAGATTACAATAATTTATTCCAAGAAATAAAAAATGATCCTCAGTTATTTTATCGTTATACCAGAATGACATTGGTACATTTTCAGAAGTTAGTACAAATGACAAAACCATATTTGACAAAAAAAAGTCCTCGTGCTTTAGTTCCAGAATTACGACTATTGATAACTTTAAGGTATTTATATAATAACTGTATATACTTTATAGATAACTAAATTATATATAATTGTTTCATATTATAGTTAATATTAATGTATTGTAATTATTATATTTTTATAGATATCTTGCTACAGGTGACTTACCAATTACCATTGCGTTAGCCTTTAGAGTTGGTGAATCTACAGTAAGAGAAGTAGTAAAAGAAGTTTGCCATGTTTTATATAAGGTTTTAGACCCATTATATCTTAGTTCACCTACAGAAGAAGACTGGAGAAAATATGCACATGGATATTGGAATAGATGGAACATTCCAAATTGTGTCGGTTCTGTTGATGGCAAGCATGTCAGATTACGCTGTCCTCCAAGATCAGGAAGCTTATATTTTAACTATAAGAAATTTTATAGTATCGTATTATTGGCAGTAGCTGATTATTTGTATAGATTTGTGTTGGTTGATATTGGAGCGTATGGAGGTAAGCAAGAACAAAAATTTTCTTAATCTTATGTATAATATAATAATCTCATATATATATTGTTTTATTACAATTATTTATTTTTGTATAATTCTTTGTTATAGGAAACAGTGACGGAGGAATTTTTAACGATTGCAATATAGGCACAAATTTAAGTAATAATACGTTAAATTTACCGAATGAACAAATAAATCTTCCTAATAGCAATCTGAAAACATACACGTACTTTGTGGCTGATGATGCTTTTAAACTGTCTAAGAGAATTATGAAGCCTTATTCCAGCAAAAATTTGATGTACAAACAGAGGATTTTTAATTATCGACTTTCAAGAGCACGGAGGACAGTTGAAAGTGCTTTTGGAATTTTTTCCAATAAGTGGAGAATATTCCACACAGCGATTAGTATGTTACCAGAAACTGCAGATTTAATTGTAACAGCTTCTGTGTGTCTCCATAATTATGTATTGAAAGAAGAACAACAAAATGGACATAAGATGTACAGTCAAGAACCAAGTTTTAAAGATAATACTAACGAGGTACAAATAAAAATAAAAATAATTATTTAATTTTTTGAATTTTAATATTTTTTGATGTTTTCAGAGTTCACCTTGGATCAATATACCAAGTAATTTTGAAGAAGATAATAACGTAAGATATGCCGAAAATCAAAGGAATACTTTGAGTAATTATTTTATCTCTGAAGCTGGAAAAGTGGAATGGCAACATGATTATGTTCAAAGAGGTGTATATGCAGACGAATAATTATACATGTATGTATGTGTGTATGTGTGTGTGTGTGGAGAGAGAGAGAGAGAGGAGAAAGAGACATTATGTTTTGATATGTTAGATTATATAACATGTTAAAAAAAAATTATTTATTTAACATAAGTTTCTGTACTAAATAAAGAAAACGACAAATATGTAAACTATTTTTATTTACAGTAGATATATATGTATATATATATATATATATATATATATATATATATATTATATGCTTTTTTTCCATGTACTTGTAATATATTATAATTAAAGAAAATTTTATAAGTAAATAATTATATTTATTATGTATAACTTTTTTATGTATTATAGTAATATAATTCTTCTCTGTTAAAAATTATTTAGTATAAAGGTTCTTATTAGGAATTTCTTGAGAAGAATATTGAATTTGCAATTTTTTGGTGGATTCTGTGAAATAAAATTATTGCACAATTAATATATATATAAATTTATTATATAATAAACTATACATGCGTTACAAATATATTCTATGATATTAAACGTTAGTTGTAACATTTTAAATAAGAAAACATATATTTCACAACCTTTTGTAGTCTTATGAAATTATTTAAATTATTAGTATCACAATACAAAAATAAGACATACTTTTTGCAAGCTTAGGAACTTTGGTAAATAAAAAAATCTCTTCCTGTTGTCTTTGGTAAATAAAATCTTTTTAAAGCAAACTTATTACAGATAAAAAAAACAATCTACTTATAGCTATGTTGTACTATATAAAATTTTTTAAACAAAAAAAACTTTTCACATTTGAACGAAAAAATATATAAAATATTTTTAAACAAAGTATAAAATCTTTTTTAAACAAAAAGAATTTTTGAACAAAATAAATTTACTTCTCTGATAATGGTGCAGTTAGAGCATCCATTACCATTTTTCTTCTTGTATCTTTCTCCTTTTCTGAAATATTACTAAATTGAATTTTAATAAATTCCATGAAAGCATCATCTGCTTTCGTTGTCGGAATTTTATCTTTCTTTTCCATGTAATTATAAATTTTTTGACTCATTTGAAATAATGTTTGTTCTAATTCCTTAGTTTCATTAATTTTTCTTTTCTTCTGTTTTGGTTCTTCATTTTCTTTATTAAAATTCTTCGTATTATAAATGTGCTCCTTGTCATTTTCATTTTCTTCTGTGTTCACACATTCTTCATTTGCAACACTTTGTGATTCATCACAAATGTTATTTTTTTCAAGTGTATGCGACTGTGATTTTGTGCAGTTTGTGTAGCTTCTGAAAATAAAACATTCGTGTGTTGGACAACAAATATATATATTTAAATAATGAATTCAATAAGTTACCCTACTTTCGTCTTTTAATTACGTTATCCAAAAATTCTAATTGCTTAAAAAAAGGAAATCGGGAGGATTTAGCAGCACCACTGCCACTTCTTGATTCAATTTCCATCTTTTTTTTCTCTCTGTTATATTGCTCTCTCAATGATATGCATCTTTTTTGGCAATACGAAGGAGTATAAATGTCACCTAAATAAAAATAGAACATTTTAGTTAAGAATTATTATTATTTATTAACAATCATCACATTATTATTATTTTATTAATTACATAATTTATGGTACAAGTAAAATTTACTCACCACAGTTCGTTTGGATCATTATTTTTGATATTTCACTCCAAGCATTTTGTTTCATTGCGCTGTCCTTAAAATTGTTATTACTTTTATCATATAGAAATGGACGTTCTCTATACAGTTCTATCAAAAGCTCATCACCACTCTTTTCTTCAATAGTAATAATACTTTCAGGTTCACTGCCATCATTCGGATCACAATCATTTACATGTATTTCAGATGAATCAACAGTATAATAATTTAAATGATCCGACATTTTTTTGCTCAAAGTAGAACTCAAAAATGTTTTTTAAAGAAATATAACAATACAATTATAAATCTTTTTACCGCAGCAGTGTACTCTCTGAAATAACGAAGAAAAATATTGGTTAACCTCAAATACTGTCATTATATTTTGACCATTCGGTACAGAAAAAGGCAAATAAATTTGTCTTTGTAAATAAAGTTTTTAAAGTAAAAAATAATTTATATTTCATTTTAGTATATTTATTTATAAATTATATGTATATTATATACTTACATATTATGTACTCTTATCAAAACGCAATTCCGCAGTCACGACCACGACTTATACGTATTACGAAGTACAACTCTACGTTTTTCTCTGCTTTAGTTCACGTCTACGTCTACGACAGACGTAAGCGCTCACGTCTCCTTTTCTGCCATCAGCCTTAAGACCATCTTAAGTACGATCTTAGGCTGAGTTTCCACTGAGCACGTCACGCGTTGCGTCATCACAAGTTAACCAATCAAAACATCCCATTTTATTACATTACTTGTGACGGGATCAAAATGGGATGTTTTGATTGGTTAACTTGTGATGACGCGACGCATGACGCGCTCAGTGAAAACTCAGCCTTAAGATGTTATGAACCAATCACAGAGCCGTATTAGCATCTTAAGACATTACTTAAGACGGTCTTGAAATAAGATCTGATTATGAATACCGGCCATATGGTTTCAGATATAGCGTTTTTCATTGGCAGAACTGATGCGCACTCAGTGCACATTAAAGCCATTGTACACTAATTTAATCTCTATTTAAAGTAAAGTGCAAATATTTCAACTGATATAAAATGCCCAATACATGTTTTACCAAATAGTACAACGAA